GGAGGGCGGCGGCCGTCTCCCCAACGGCAGCCTGTGCCGGGCAGGAGGCGCCGACCTCGCCCCTCGCGGCCTCTGCAGCGCTGCCCTGGGCCGGGTGTGGGGGCCGTCCTGTCCCTGGCGGCGTCCCTACAGCAGTGTCCCGTCCGTCCCCCAATCTTCGCTGCCGTCCAGTAACCGGCCCAGCAGCTGCCCGCGCCACGGATCTCACCCCTGAGTCCTCCCCACGGACAGCTCGGCGCAGCGCGCTGTCAAGCTGCAGCCCCTCAGAGCAGCTGAGCTTTACCAGAACCGTCCTCTTCCGCCCCCAGGGTCGGGGTGTCGTGTCCCTGTCGCACAACGGCACCCAGAGTTGCCCTTTCTGGGTAAAAAGGGGGTGCGTGTGGGAGGGAGGGAAAGGCACAAGGACCAAACAACTGTACTAACTCCCCCAGCGACCACCTACTGGCCAGGAGTGATGTGACTTTGGCAAAAGCTGCTCTAGCCCTGTCTGCCCCCTGGTTAGCTACAGCAAGGAGCGACTGGGTTTTACTCAAGTACTGGAGGTTGGGCTAGGAGTACACACCAGCCTTGCTGCCCTGTCTTCTCACTGGAGAAGTAGAACCTTTGCTCTGCCCCTAGGACCCAGACTGTAGTCAAGAGGCAGCTTCAAGTCTAGACAAAGAACTGTCTCCCCTTTCAAAAAGGCACCAGAAGCTACAGGTAGAGATGTTAGCAAGCACAATGCAAGACACTCTAGATCTGTGGTTCCCGCCCTCTGACAGATTGTGTACCACCAGCAAAGTTTTGTCATATAAAGTAATTCTAATAAGTCTGTTAATGTGTACCACTGGCAGGTTGTCTGTGAACCGCAGATTAGGAACCACTGCTCTGCATCAGTGGTTATCAACCTGTTTTGTACCAGGACCCATTTCTAAACATGATGGCCAGTTCCAACCCAGTGCCCATCACACCTGAGCCCCAGCCCCCTTGTGTGTGGGGCAGGGGGAACTGGGGGCCCCAAGCAGCCCCTTGCAGGCTAGAACTCTGCCAGCCTGCAAGGGAAAAGCCAGTTTTCCACATTTTTCTCCTTTAGAGGAAAATCCATTTAGGTTTATTTTCAACCCTTTCATATGTTCTTGTGACCTACAGGTTGAGAAACGCTGCTCCAAATAGCTAAACTACCAAGTGAGATGAAAGAGCATGAACCCCAAAGTCAAGGGATTTACAAAAAAAAAGATCCACACGTACCACCAATGCACCTTTGGCCATAAAGCTGGAGGAACAAGTTGTATACTTCTACTCTGAAAGCAAAGGCATTCTTGAACAGTTGTTTATGCAATGAAGTGAACTGAGCAGAACAGTGTACATTCCCTTTGCTACTATATATTATTAAAAAAAAACAAAAAAAACAAAAAACCCCCAGCCTGAATCTGTAGGAAGCAGGCTAGAATAGAAAGACATCCTATTTTCCATATAACCAATGCAAATTTCACTAGTTAACCTCTTACTAATTAGCCTACATGGATAAAAATACTGGAGAAGTGACTTTTCATTGCTTTACCAGGGAAATTGGCTTTGTTGAATTAATTAAATCTTCATTCAATGCTGTTACTGTATCACCTAGTAAAACTGTACTCATAAATAAGTGTTTCACTCACACAAAGTGCAGAATTTTTTTTTTTTATTTTCATTTTCACTTCCTTCATTGGTTTTGAAAATTTGTTTTGGTTTATAAAACATAGAAATAGCCAAGACTAAGCAAACATTTGAACTCCAAATGTAACAAATTACTACTCTAAGAGTTGACATGGATTTGTGTACCTTAAGCTGCGCACACATGAAATTATGCTACTGAATAGTGCATTACAATCACACAGAAATCTTAGTGCAAACCCTGTTGTGCTTGTATTTTACATATATCCATGTGTCCAAGAAACAGCAATGAATACCAATGGAAAACCAACTCTGTTAAGATGTAGTAAAGATTTATGCTGCAATAAGGCATATTTCTGCCAGGTTTTCCAAAACGAAGGCGAGACTGGATATTTTGTAATGTATTTGGGAATTCAGCTTCCCCCGGCCTACCCCTTGAACAAATATCTATCCTATGCTAATGGACAGCTCTGCTGCGGGCTTGATTACTCAGAATTGCTACAATCATCAGGTTAGAAACAAGTTTCTTGCTTTCTGTTCCCATCCATCTCTATGAAGGTACTCTATTGCTTATGCATTAAGCATAGAGAACTGAGGGACTGGTAGAAGCTATTCTGTAGGTACAAGATCTGGCACATTACAAAAAAAAAATTGAAGCAAATTTAATTAAACAGATGTTCATTGCAGGGAGACAAGCAACTAGTACAGGTGTACATTTACCTGGCTGTTAGCATAACCCAGCCTCCTGAATGGTTTCCATCTTTAAAACTCGTTTCATTCCAGAGTTAGGATCTGTTTACGCAGCTATGGAGTTGACCTTCGTCAGGACCTTATGTTGATTGGTAGCTGCACACATGTTCTTTAGTGTTCAAGAATTAGATGCAGACTAAAAATCTGAGACCTAATGTTGCATCATTCTCCTTTAATTGGTATTCAGCTTCTAGCTTACACAGGTAACTTCAAAGTTCTTTCCTGGGGACGCTCGAGTAACTTCTGTCTGCTCAGGTTAATGATAGGGCTAATATAAGAAGTGCTTCAGCTACAAACCTTGATGGATCAGCTAATGTTTCCCCTGATGTAAAGATACCAAGAGGCCTCTCCAGATCTGCTAAATCCTTTGGAGTTGACTGTAGCAAAGCACACTGCAGACACTGAACATGCTGGCAATAAGAAAACCCTAACTCCATGGTTAAGAAGAGTCCCATTTTTTGGCTGAGGAAGTCTTAAAATAACTTACACAGTTACGTTTACAGTTTAAGGCTTTTTTTTGGAAATTGTAGGTCACCATAAAATGGTATGCAACACAACTGGACAGTAAGGCAGTGTTCCATTTTCTTCAATGCTCCTATGGCAAGTACCCATTTATGTACTAGTTAGTTAATGATTGCACAGTTTCCTTCCCTATGTTTGCTGTGGTCAAATTACAGATACGAAGGCCAACAGTAGACACTGGACACGTGCCATTCTCCTCAAGCCATTAGTTACATTCTAACGTTAGCATAGAGTTCATCTATCTGCGCCTTGAAGTATGTTCGTAGTTCTGGTCTCTTTGCCTTCAATGTTGGTGTCAACAAGCCATTTTCAATGGAAAACATTTCAGGGTGCAGGGCGATGGTTTTGACCTGAAAACAAAACAAAGAAATAAAAATAAAAAATGAATATTTATTAGCTAATAGTTCACATGAATTTTGGCTGCATTCCCTAGAAAGCAAAGCTCAAAGCAGGGGTAGGCAATGTTTTTGGGCAGAGTGCCAACCCCCCCCCAAATCTCAACTTGTAAGACGTTTGTGCACCAAGGGCAGATGGCATGGGAGCCATAAGGGGCCCAATCCTTATTTTGGCAGTGCAGCCCCAGCCCCTTCCCGGCTGTCTACCCTGTGCACCTGCTGTTGCTAACAAGCTGGGCCAGGTCTCCTAGGCTGGCTGTGGCACGCTGAGCAAAACAGCTTCACATGTCATGCTCTGACTCCTGGCTTTAAAAAAGGTGGGGCACATTAGACAGACATGAGTTATGTAGCAGGTTACTTAAAAAGTATGAGAACGTTAAGTAGAAGTGGTTTCTTCAGAGTCTAGTTACATGTTAGTTCAGAGAACTGGGTAATAAGCTAAAATTCCATTTAAGTTCAGCTTCAGTTTCTCACCTGCTCAAATGACTTCAAACCAGATTCTTTCCCAATTTTCAACATGTCTTCCAGAATGTGTTTCCTGAGATCCTATAGGTACAGGAAAATAGAAAAGAACTCTACTGCATGAGTGTGAAAACTGAAGCAACTGAGGAATGAAGTTTACAGCAGAGATATTCATATGCCAATATTTATGGCAGACCTTGAAGTTAGTTTACACTTCATCCCCAAGGTATATTGATGACATCTTCACTGTATGAACACAAGGGAATCTAGAGAAGTTTCACCAGGACTTTAAAACAACTTCCACCCCTCCAGACTAACTTTGGAATACTCCACCTAGCAAATTAAATTTCCTGGACACCATGGTGAAGGGTTGCAATAGTCACATTGCCATCATGTTGTATTGGAAACCCCTGACCACTACAGCTCTTTCATGCCACCAGCTTCCATCCCAAGTGCATCACTAGATCTGTTGTTCAAGGTGGTCAGCTACTTCTGTAAAACCAAGTCATGGGCCAGGTGGCTTAAGCAACAGGGGGCTTTGCCTGCACCCACATCAGGGGTGTGCTTCCCCCAGCTGGTTGGGGAAGGAAATGGAGAATGAAAAACAAAGTGAAAATCAGCAAGGACAGCTGAAAGCTGCAGCCTCACTCCTACCACTTCCTTGCCACTCCCTACCAGATCACAGTCTCTCAGCTACTGCACAGCTCCCAGCCAGGTGGCAGCTGCAGCTATGGAACAAGCAGTTGGGGAAGACAGCAGCACAGACTGACAGCTTCCAGCTCCCTAGCACAACTCCTTGATCTGACCCCAGCACAGACAAGGCACTAGCAAAGTCCTCCGATTCTGTGGTCCATTCCAGTGGCTCTAGCCCATGAGCATTATGTTGCCGACTACAGCTATAGCCAAGCTCTACGTTGCAACCACATCTGCTCCCATCTCAACTAGGAAGCACACCCAAGCAATCTAGAGCAGGGATATTTATAATATAATCCCAAAACTGTAGCCACTCAAAATCAAAGCCAGACTCAGACCTCCCTCCAACCTGCTACAAGGACAGAGTCCCTCTATTCATCCCCATCAGCCCTCAGCTTGAGCACTCTCCCCCCACCTAGAAAAGGAGACAGCCCCTCTTCCCTCATTGATTCAGACCATATCATCAATTGACCAAATACCACAGATAAAACACCCAAAGTTAATTTACTTGCACCTCTTCCAGTGTCACATATGCCACCACCTGCTTACAGTACCCCTCTGTTGGACAGACTGGGTAATCCCTACATGTAAGAATGAACAAACACCCATCTGAGAGCAGTTCCAGAAAGACTCAAGCTTGTGGCAGAAAAAACTTTAATCTCCCTGGACATTTTATTGATCTCAAGGTGGTTGTTCTTATACAGGAAAACGCTTGCTAACAACAACAACAACTGATGAAGTAACCTCAGGCTCACGAAAGCCAATACTTTGAGCTACAGGGTCTACAAGGTGCAAGTCTACCCCCATCTTTTGCCCATTAATACAGGGTGGCCAAATTGCAGCACAAGTGCCACAGCAGTTCGCATGTTCTGGCATACAGCAGATCAAGGAGGGACAGCAGCAGATAGGGTAGGAAGAAGAAAGCAGAGAGCAGGAGATCAGGGAGCGCAGGAAAAAGCGGAAGAGGAAATGCATGTGACCACACAGGAGCAGGGAGCAGAAACAGCAGGAGATCAGGCAGGCAAAAGGGAATCAGAGTGATATTTGGGGAGAGCACAGGGCTAGTTTGTGGCATGCCTGACAAAAAAGGTTCACTCCTACTGGATTAATAGCAATTAAAAATTAGGACAGTCAAGGGGGTATCCTCTGGCATCTCTAAACCAATGGTGGTGTATGCCAGAGATAGATCTCCCTAGATATACCCTGTTCATATGCTCATTCTCCAAAATAGGGGTGGCTATCCTGCAACATGCATGCCACAGGCAGCTTCTATATGGCACAGAAGATTGGTGAGGGGACTGGTAGCAGCATCAGATAGGACAAGGAACAGCAGAACAGATGGGGAAGGGGCTGGAATGGCACTAAGTTAGGGTACAGGGCTAACTTGTGGCACGTCTGCCCAGAAGGTTGGCCCCTGCTACTCTAAAGCACAAATACTGTCAGTGTTGGAGGTGAGATACTGGGTTGGATGGACCAGTATGACATTTATGTTCTTCAAGAACACGTACCTTGTTTTTGCACAGTTCTTCATATGAGCTTTCATATCCCTTCTTCTTGGCCCAGCTAGGTAGGATTTCTGGGTCTGGTACCACAATAGCTATTAAGAAAGCCTTGAAGAGAGAAACAGTATTTTATTAAGCTTGAAAATTCTAAGCTCTTAACAGTCCATCACTTTTGGTGTAGCTAGATATGACTTTAATCCAAATTAACAGTATTTTATATTAGTTGGGGGTTGTGTCTGGCTTCTGAAGTAAAGCAATTCAGTTGTCCCACAATGAAAAACATTTAAGATGTTTTTTAAGGCGTGTTTTACAACATTTTAAATTCAAGTAGAACCCACTTCTGAACTTCTAGTTCATCCAGTCCTTAAACAACATTTATTATTCAATGTTGGCCTTGCACCTCAAGCTGAAGGAAAAAAGGCTACTGCCCATTGTCTAACCTGACCCAGATTCACAAGTTGTATAGCTAGGATGTCAGACTAAAAATTCAAAAAGAGCCAGTTATAAGAAATTTCAACTACAACATTAGTTTAAAAGAGACTGAAGCCAACTACAGCTGGCACTGGTCTCAAGCTAGACAAGGGATGCCTACCTGTAAGCTTTCCCCATGGACAAACACCTGAGCAACAGGTTCACTTCTCAAATACACATTTTCTATTTTCTCTGGTGCTATGTACTCTCCCTGGGCAAGTTTGAATATATGCTTTTTCCGGTCAATGATCTTCAAGGTTCCATTCTGTGGAATAAGAAAAAATTATTTCTATGCACAAAAGTTGGATGATGTTGACAGGTAGATCGAAGCCACTCTACAGTTAGATTAAACCAGATGAAATACTAGGAATGTAATGTAAACACTTCAAAAAATAATACTAAGAAGAAATCTGTAAGTCAGTTTTGCCCAAATACACAGCTAGTTTGAGGACAGATATAAATAAAAGGTTACTTGACAGACTGTTTAAAGCAGTAAGTGATTAAAAAAAAAAGTAAATTTGAATTAATTCCAGTTGACTAGATGCCAACATCTAGAATGTTTTGGTCACTGAAAAGTTATGAGGTTACAAGGAGAAGAATGTAAACAGAAGTCGACTGGAACTGATGAATCTGCTTGTATCCACCTCCTATACTGGTTCACTTCACCCAATCTTTGCTGATTTCTCTGAAAACAAAAGCTCAGGTTTGAATTTTGACAAGTTGCAAAAGCCTTATGTAAAAAGGACAAACTGTTCCTTAATTTTGAAGTAGTAACAAACAGATTAGAGGTGCACCGATATAAAGAAAAGCTAGATGCATCAGATATTGACCTAACAGGGCCGGTAGATGCCTGCGCTGTGCACAGTCACAGTACAACACTCAGGCAGCGTGGAGAGCTGCCTCCAGCTGGTAAGTCCAGTGTGGTGGGAGGGGAGGGGGCAGATACTGCTCCAGCTGCTGCTTGCACCCTGGGAGGATGTGAGGAGGCGTGTGCCCCCAGATCTGCATGGGGCAGGGTGGGCTGCAGCCAGGGGCTGCGCAGGGCTCTTCTCAGCAGGGGCTGGGAGGATGCTGCATCCACCCCAAAATTTTGCTACTGCTCTGCTCCCATCACCACCGCCAGCCGCATGACACAGCCCCAGCACGTGGATGGAGGCAGGGCTGCACCAGGCGGTTGGTGGTGGTACCAGGAGCGGAGCAGTGGCAAAATTTGGGGTAGATGCAGCATCCTCCCAGCACCACCAGCGCCTGCTCAAGCCCAGCCCCTGCTGAGAAGAGCCCTGCACAGCCCCAGCTGCAGCCTGCCCCACCCCATGCAGATCTGGGGTGCACATGTCGTGTGTCGTCCCCCCCCCAGATGCAAGCAGCAGTGGGAGTCAACCCCCTCCCCACAAGCTGCAGCTCTGGGCCCCCCGCCCTGCCTGGATAGGGCCTGCCCGTGCCGCCTACTTCATTGCGGGGGTGTTGATCTCCCCCTCCCCCAACGGCCCTTCTACCACACCAGACTTACCTGTTGGAGGCAGCTGCATCAGAAATCAGATCGATATCGGCTGATATGCCTCCTTAAATATCGGCCATCTGTATTGGCCCCCCAAAAAATCTATTGGTGCACCCCTAAACAGATAATGCTGAAGGGAATTATCTATAAAGGTCTGAATGTACTATTATACATGAGGTTGAAGGTAGTCTTCGCTTACAAAATTAAAAGATTCCTCTTCCCCCACCATAAATGAAGGAATTCAAGATAGTTTGCTATTTAATTCAGCTCCCTTAAGTAACACCATGTAGTGGATAGTGTGAAGTACTGCTATTTATCTTGGGGGGAAGGGAGAAAAAACAAACAAAAAAACCAAAACCAAACCACAAACCAAAGCTTCCCAGCAGCTAAATACTAGAAGTGCTAATTTCATGCTTTGTTTATAGTACTTTCCAGAATCTCTCAAAGTACTTTTACAAACATTTAAGCTCTGAAGTTCCCCCCACCCCCACAGGTACATAAGTCAGGCCCTTGGCAATTTAGTCATTGCCAACACAGTTGTTTCAAAGTGCGTGTGTTTTTCAGCTTTGCAAGTTTACTTACTGGTAACCATTTCCCAACATCTCCTGTGTGGAGCCAGCCATCTTTATCCAAAGCTTCTGTTGTTTTCTCTGGATCCTTCAAGTAGCCCAGAAATACATTTGGCCCTTTCACACACACCTGAAATAGGAATTAAAATCAAAGCTGATAGGCAAGAAGTCTGGCATCATGATGTAATTTGTAGGGATGTCAAGTTCTCCCTCACTTTCTAAAATGAGTCAAATTAAGGTTTAGCTACAAATATGGCAAAAGAATTAATAATAAACTGTCATTATAGGATGACATACTTCAAATATAGCATGGAGAATAAAGGCTACCGATGATTAGACCCAGTTATTCCTGAATGTGACCTTTTTCAATGTATTCAGTTAAAGAAATATGATAAACAGAAGAGTAGATTGGTAAACTTCAATTTCTAAAGGACTATTTTTAATTAAATTTAAAAGGAAACATGTTAGTGAGTTCCACAAGAGCAGGGGCAGGCAATTATTTCAGCTTAATGAGTTTTGGTGAGCTGTTGAGGGTGAGCTTGGAACTGGGAGTCACTGACCTTTGCTGCCAGAAATCCCTCCCCTTACCACACCAGAAACTCTTTTTGGGAGCAGAGGGTTGCCATCTTGGAATCAGAAAAAACTACAAATTGTATACTAGAACTCAAAACACCTACAATAGCATATTTTAAAATTTTAATTACAAAAAAGTCATGATTTGTGTTTGTATACTGTATATAGAGGAAATTGCATAATAACTCAAAAATAAAAAAGTCTTGCTATTTTAGACTCTGTGTGTGTGTGTGTGTGTGTGTGTGTGTGTGTGTGTGTGTGTGTGTGTGTGTGTGTGTGTACACGCGCGTGGGGGGGGGACCCCCACACCTCCCTCCCACGGTGCACAGCTCCCACTGCCAACAGTAGCAGCAGGCAGAGGTGCTTGTGCCCAGCCCAGGCACTGAGACCCAGCAACATGAATCTGGCCAATGCTGCATATGGAGGTGAAGAGCACAGCTCAGCAGGGCTCCCTCTATTGTGGGAGTTTCCCCATGTGCACATGCAGCTCCCCACATGTGCTACTTTGGCAGGGGAGAGGAGGGGAAAGCCCCATGTGAGAGCTGGCTGCCTTCCCCACCCTCTGCTGCACAGGTCCTGGAACTCTGGCAGAAGTGGAAGGGAAGTGTGGCTCTTGCTTCTCCATGGAGTCTTGGGACCTGTGTGGCAGGGAGTGGAAAAGGCAGCCAACTCCCATGCAGGGCTTCCCTCGGTGGCACAAGTGCAGGGAGCTATACATGTGCATGGGGAACCTCCACAATAGAGGGGGCCCTGCCAGAATGTGCTTCTTGCCCTCACGCACAGCGCTGGCTGGTGCCATGTGCTGTCAGGCACCAGTGCCTATGCCAGGCATGAGCGCCCTGCTGCTGCTGGCAGTGGGGGTTGTGCACCATGGAAAGGAGTGTGTTGGGGGTCCACACACACACACACACACACACACACACACACACACACACACACACCCCTGCTCACCCGAGCTCCAAAATGCTGCTGCCTCCCTGGGCACGTGCACCATGCTGCTGCCAGCCTCAGCCACATGCTCTCTAACCCCGTCCCTTCTCTACCTGCTGCCTGGAGCAAGCAGGACACCAGGGAAGCTGAGCAGTGGTAGCAGCAGCCCCACTGAGAAGCTGTGTACTGGCTGGGCCGGGCCCTTCTGCCCACAAGGGGCCTGCCTGCAGGGCAGATGAGTGTGCCTGGCAGGCCGGATCCAGCCTGCGGGCCATATTTTTGCCTGCCCTTGCACTAGAGCAAAGAGCTTGAGAACCTGCATGGTAATCCTGGAAAAAAAAGTAGTAAGGCACTGACACTTCATCCCAAACAAGGGGAATGGTTTGTAGAAAAGCCTCCAGGCCCAAGTGAACTGATAATTCCAGAATAATACTGAATATAAAAAAAAACCCGAACAAAGTAGTGTATCTACAGATCAAAGAAAGCTCATCAAAACTGACTGGAGTCAAGAAGCATTAAGTCTTGTTAAAAATATATCAAAAGAGAGATTGTAAATATATAAAGATTTAACCCCAAGTAAAGAATAAACAAAACACTCTACAGTAAGTATGGGGTACAGATTAGGAGATAGTCATTTGGTAACATTTCCATGTGTCCCCTCATTTTTCCAATAGCAGAAGTAATGTTCA